TTTGTAACAGCAAAGGACTTTGTGATTAACTATAGCATTATTCAAGATATCTTTTTTCGTAAATCCACCGATATCTGGCGATGAGACTTTTGACCCACTTTCTCTGCAACCTGCGGGTGTTGAGTGATGCAGGTGTCCGATCAATGAGGGATCTTTTCCACTGTCTTTACTTCTTGTTGATTTCCTTCTATAGCGGTTAATTTAGCCAACGAGGTCTGTTCGTTAGTCCTTATCATATGGTTGGACAGTGGCTGGAGGGGAGATTGCAAACTTTTTCTTTGAAATGGCCCCAAACCTCCACGATATTACCGGAGAGCGTGGATGCTCAGTCAACAAGAAGTTTATTTCTGTAACACTTCAAAATATCATGGTGTGCTCATATTCATGACAACTCATGAGTTAACTTTCAAGTACCTTCGAATAAGAGTCAGACCGCGATGGCTCCCTACAGCGAGTGGCCATTTTCGTAATGTCCGCCGAAATTCTGGAGTGCGCTTTCGATTTGAACGGGTGACTTAGGTGGAATTGCAATATTAATTATCACACGGCATAGTCCCTTGCTTTTCCTGAACGTAGTGGAATTTTGGATTTTGAATGTACTTGTTCGCGATCTCTTATGAAACCTACACTGGGGAAAAAAAGACTACTTAAGCAGAATGCACTTTTCGCTTTGGATTTGATGATTTTATAAATTCAAATATATCGCGTTCATCATCTCCCGAAGAAGACGAAGAAGAAGAGAGGGCGAATCCATGGACCATATTGTATCCGAACTGACGTTTCGGAAACTTCCTCGTTTCCATCATCAGAGTAGCGTAATTGTTGCACTTGCGGGTCTTGAGTTATTCAGTCTTGCCGCTTGCCTCGTATTCAAATATATGTTATGGAAAGCATGCACGAGAATATGTTTTCTTTTACCCGCATGGTGTCGAATCACGCCATCTTTACATATTATGATCAGAGAAAGAGTATATTTAGGTGTTAAAAATTTTTCTAATTCCCGAATAATTTTGAGCCGGATCAGCCGTTGCATTGGCGTTAAGCGATTTTAGTCTACAAGATATATACTTTCTGCGTAGAAAAAACCATATATTCCCCCACGCTTCTAAAAAGACACCATGAAGAGTTCACAAAATTTTGGCAATCAATTTGGACTAGTTTGTTTACCTTACGAGGAGCTGTAATAAACGGATAGGTACGATGCTGTGTGAATGGACATAAGATACTTTTGTAAAATCAAAATTTACTCCTTCCCCAAGTATAAGATGTGAAAACAACGTGATTTTCTGCCAGACAAGTAAACGAGAACGCATTTTGCACCTGTCTTCTGCAAAATATATTCAAATTTACAAGGCCATCTAAAATCAATGCGAAAATGCATACTACCTAAGTTGCCATTTTTTGCCGAGTGTAGTTTTCAGTGGAGCTCGCAAACATCTGCATTCAAAAGCCAATTTCCTTGCGAGTCCGAAATGTCATGGGGCTATGCTGCATTACAGTTGGTATTAAAACCCCACTTAAGTAATCCTTCCTGATTGAAAACGTATTTCAGCATTTCGGCTAACGTCTCATGAAATCGGCTACTCACTATAGTTGGATCATTATAGCAACGCTCTGCGTGCGATATCCCCCGCCAAAAAGCATCGCTCGGATAGAGTAGTGTCGATTTAAACGCATATAGAAAGATTCGGCTCTGCCGACCATTGTACCCACGCCCACTTTTTAGTCTCATTGTGCGCGGGAATAGCGGGCAAGGTGGATGCGTTGAAAGACCGCCTAACTACAGTGACTGACCGGTCTGATGAAATGTTGACTGAAATTCTGAAATGCGTTTGCGATTTGGGAAGGAATACTTAGGCGTGGCTGTAGTATTGATTATCTTGCGACATAATCCTATAATATTTCGGACTTGGCAGGATGTCGGCTTTTGAATACACTGCCTTTTTAATTTCCTGTGGAGACCGAACTCGGTAAAAGATGATTACTAAGATCGCATGCACTTTTCGCATTGATTTTTGATGGTCTTACAAATTCAAATATATTTTCTTGAAACCACGAACAAAAATATGCTTTCTTTCAGCTGTTTAATAGAGACTCCAGTCAATATGTTTTAAACTCGAAAAAGTATAATTAAGTTTTAAAAAGTTCTCTAATTCCCGAATAATTTGGAGCCTTTTCAGTCGCTGCATTAGCGCTTGGTGATTTCAGTATACAGGGTGCATGCATTCCGCGTAAAGAAAATCACATATTCTTTTATGCCTTTAAAAATATACCATATAGAGTTCATGAAATTTTGCAAGGAATGCTGACCATGTTGTACATTTCATGAGGAGCGGTTATAAACGGACAGGTACGATGCTTTATGAATAGCCATTGTACGGTCTTGGAAATTCTCATAATTAGAAACTTTTTTAGAACCTAATTATACATCTTCGAGTATAAATCATAAAGATGACCTGATTCTCTATAAAACGACTGAAAGAAAGCATATTTTTGTTCGTGCTTTCTATAAAATATGTTCGAATTTATAAAATAATCGAAAACCAATGTGAAAAATGCATGCTACTTAAGTAACCATTTTTACCGAGTTCGGTCTCTACAGGAGACTTAAAAGCAGTGTATTCAAAAACCGACATCCTGCCGAGTCCGAAATATTATAGGATAATGTCGTAAGATAATCAGTGCTACAACTGCGCCCAAGTAATCCCTCCCAATTCGAAAACGCATTTCAGAATTTCAGCCAACATTTAATGAGATCGGTCACTCACTGTATAAGTAAATTTACGCGCTCGTCGCCGCTGCACCCTCTTTTGCATAGTGCCGACCCTCGTGGCTGACGGCAGACAAATTATGGGATTTACCAATCGCCAAACCCTCTTTATCCTGTCAGCACTGACGTTGTTGAAACGCAATTGTTTAGAATCCTGCTCATCTTGTTGAGCTATGAGCTAGCTTTGTGGGCAGTCAGTTGCTTGACCTGAAAGAGGGTCCCTTCCTCTCTGATCGCCTTACCTTTGGATGTTATTTTACATAAAACAGACTAACTCTGACTTTCCTTGGGTCGCAATGTTCCACGGATTACCTCTTATTTGTAAGAGCACTTCGGTAGGTACTGCTGGATGGCGAGCAATAAGTCAGACTGAAATATAACCGACAGTGAAATTAACCTCGTAGACAGCACTGTATTCCGTTAACGCGGCAACTACCAACACCACTCTGATATCATCGGCAAACGCTGTTCACCATGGCTGTGAGAACGATACTGGCAGAGCCAACCCCCAGCAATGTCGTTTTATGAATTAGGGCACATTTCTAAACTATGTGCGTCCTATTAAACCCTGGATCGCATTACTGTTTAATACTAGCCGTACTCCACCAGTTTGCTTGCCTTTTAAACCAGATCATTAGACGCACATTCCCACTATGCTGTTAGATAAGGTTGCCATGGTTTCTTTTTCTACGGCTTTATAGTATACCCCGCCACCAAACAAATAAGCAATATTAGCATACTTGAAAACTTATCCTTTCTGGAGTAAATATCTAAACACCATCGAAGTCGTTGTAGTCTAACGACACGAATATGATGAGCACGTTGCTGCAAGTATATTTCGCGGGTCAATAACTAAGTGCAGACATATACCCAACGAAAGTAAATAGCAATCGTGTAAGGGGATGGTTATATCTAAGTTTTGTCAAGGGTACTACTGGCGCAGGTCGTGCTGATTAAAATTTTAAACTGGGGACTTTTACCGCCGCCTGTCGGCGACATGCTAAATCCAGTCTGGACGGATTTAGGATTTGAACCCGGACTCGGACCAGGGACTTTTGTCGACTCTGATCGGTGGAAGATTAGGAAAAGTCGCGCAGAAGCTGTCTACCGATCTGACTTACTTTCAGGGTGTCCGTTTTTTGCAACGGTTGGTCCCATAACCGTGAGCCTTTAATCGTCTCAACGACGGCACAGGTTGGACTAGGCGTTTCTTGCTTAGTGAAACTCAACAAGGCAATAATGGACGGCCGTGCTCTCTTTCGAATTGAAGTCCGAGAAGTGGGCCCCATATGATTGCGCTCCTGTGGTACTCAGTTCTTGAGGCTCATTTAAAGATTTCATTTCCTGTTTAACGTGTTTTGACGCATACCGGCAATACGAACTGCGGTTGACAGGCGAATTCTGTTCACGTTTTAGCAGTGCTCCACTGAGGGCTCGAAACACTGTCAGCACTAAGCTCATACAAGCCGAATCGTATAGAGGCTGAACAGATCCAAACCCCTGTCTTTAATCAATTCAAACAACCGAACTCGCTCCCGCCCGAAGGTTGTTTGCAGAACCAGCGAGGTGCTTGATTTCAATAAGTTTATTCATTGCTTTTACTCGTTCTGTCAATTGCAGCCATCTCAGTAGTCACCATGCCCTCGAGAATCTGTTGGATGAAATGTGGTTTTATCTGATCTGTGAGTCCTTGATGCGAAATCTGAACTTTTGTTGCCTCACTCACCTTCTGCCTTATGAGCGTTTCAACGAACAGAAAGGCTTAGAAGTGTGACCTTAATCCGCTCCACCTTTCTAACACTCTGCTTAGTAACAAGCTACCTATGGAAGGGCTTGGCATCTGGTCAAAATTAAAATCGTCTGATGGCCGTTATTTGCATGGCAACAGTCACACCGTAGCCACTAAGGACTTTGGTGCGTCGAAACCTGTTCTGTGTGGCTGCTTCAACACACAGACTCCTGCCTAAATCGTCTTTTCTCTTGCAAAACGTGCCACTTAAAGCGACGTGGGCTGATGAGGATCGGTCGTCCAGAAACCAGGAGGGTCGTTTGCACGTCTCATGCAAATGCCACTAACTCACTACAGCTCAGTCGGACTCTTGGGGTAAAAGAAAAGTTTAAAGTAAGTGAATCATAGGGGTTTAATACGACCCGTGCAGGAAACTGTTGACTCCTCCTTTCGAGGACCAAATTACTGGGTGCAGGTGAGCGTCTACATGTCTGTTTTGTCTCAGCTTGCTTTACAAGAGGCAAGGGGGTCCACAAATTGTGAACCCCCGCCTATACCAGTGCCGCCGAATCCCTCCATTTTCGCCCTCAAAAGACTATCGAAGAATTCCTTGGCCAGCTGGAAACGCGTGTCTAAGGTCTGTTCAGTCAGCGGCTGTTGTGACGCGTTCGTCGTCGTCGTCGTCGGCAGCATCGCCGTCGTTCTGTCGCCTGCTTCGCTCTCTTGAGCGGTCACTGCGCCACCGTCTCCGCGATATCCAGGATTTGCCTCCCCAGAGTTCTCGTTTGTTGTGGGCTGGGGAGCCCATTTGGCGGGGCTCTCGGAAGGCAGACGAGGCAGACTGAGAAGCAGTTCAGGGGTTGGCACATGTCCACCACAGAGGGCTGGGACCGAAAGACCGGGTGGAGCGTCGCTCATCACGGTAGTTACCGG